GGCCCCCCCCCACTGGGGGGGGGCAGTTTCTCGCTTTGTCTCTGTCTCTCTCCAGTGAGTGCACACACCCTGTACTCTCTCTTAATAACAACAACAAGAAAAAAAACAAAATGAGGTAAATGATCTTGCTTGGGAGAGTCTGTACAGAAGGAGACCTGAAAGTTGCTATGAAGATGTCAACACGAACCCACAGCTTTGATTTCTCTATGAAACTTAGGGACCCTGTCTATTATACATTCGGCTATGGCTCTGAACTTCATCTCAATGGTGCATGCGAACATCTGGCTTCATAAACCTAATGGTCTGCAGACCTAGGCAACATAGGCAGGGCCCTCATGGCACCTGAACATGCACCCTATACACACGCACACGCCACAACATACATACACACATCTCTGTCTCTTCCAAGGCTCCATAAAAGATAGAGCTACCGAGACCAGCAGTTGGCGTAATGGCTATGTCGCTGGACTCCCATGTAGTCAGCTGCGGTTCAAGTCCCATGCCCAGTGGCCTAAACTCATGCTGGGCATGTATGTGTGCATGCCTAAGATCCCGAGAGGAGAATGGAGAAGGGATTGTGGCATGGCCATCTCTCCTGGGGAGTGATTCCTCGCTTTCTGACTCTGTCTTTCTGGCGAGCACACGTGCCCTATAGCAAAAACCTCTCAAAAAAAACTACACATTTATTTACATATAGGTGGGGAAATGAGTGCGTACAAATTTATATATATATATATATATATACACATATATACACACATGCACATAAATATATGTAAAGTATTTATATGATTTTTAAAAATTGTCTATTTCTTCTGGGGGAAAGAGAGTGACCCCCAGGCAGGGTCATGGCGCTGAGACCCACCAGTATCAGCAGCCCTGACCATGAGGACAAGCCTGCCTGGCAACATCAAGGTCATCTCTGGACAAGAACCAGAGTCAGCCTCACACGGCCTCGCGTTTTACCACTGCCCCATCATCCAGCCCCCTCTGCGTGTTAGATCCCACATCATATCCAGATGAAAAGGAGCCCAGGGAGGTAAGGCGACTTTCTTGAGATCATACAGCTAGACAGAGACAAAGCTTAGCAGGCCCTGGGTGTCTAACACCGAGTCTGGATTTACTTTCCCCTCCTGATTTACATCTCCAACAGTTCATCAAAAGACTCGGCGTCAGCCGTGTTGAGATCTTACGCTGGAGACCGTGGAGCCCCATGACCAGTGCACACACTGCACATGGCCGTTAAAAACGGCGCACCCTCTCAGGGAGGGGAGCATAACCTAAATCGTGAACCGTCTTCTTCGACGGAACCTCGGTCCCAGCAGTCCTCTGCCGTGTATTTCGAGTGTATCCCGGGGCGGCGTGATTGGAATCAGGTGACGGGTGGCAAAGAAGTGAACAAAAAAGCAGAAACGAGGTTGGATACTGTGGAACAGTTTTTCCCCTTTTTGTGACTTCTCCCTAAATGCAAATTTAATATCTACTGAACTTTTCCTAGCAACTTTTGTTTTTTTGGTCAGCAATTCCAAACATTCACATAACTGGTTTTAAGAAAACAAAATGTTTGCAATGTTACCTCAAGTGTTAACCGGTACACTCGGGTCAGTGCATGGGGACTGTAATGCAGCTTGTTCATCTTAAAATGAAATCCTGTCTAGTCTGAGGCCATTGATTTAAAACCCATAGAAATGCCTCTAATTGTAAGGGAAAAGAAAGTGTTTCCAAGGATAAATTCATCAGAAAAGAAAATCCCAGACATTTAGATGCTACTTATGGTTATCTGAAAACCCGATCGCATCACCCACACGACAGGGGTAAGGTGGGACGTACCCCCAGAGCCGCCTGTGTCCCCATTGCTGTCTACGTCCATCTCCACCGAAGGCTCTAAAGGATTGAGTGTCTGCTTCTGATGGAAAAAAACTTAAAAAACAAAAGAAGGCAGCCATTAAGATGAAAAATTTGCCACGGATGTTAATTAAGCTACTACATTACCATTGAAATAAATTTCAACTTCTCTGATAAACAAAATAGTTCAATATCAAAATAGGTACGTATAGAGCTAGAAAACCATTTCAGACACGTAGTACATTTTTAAAAGGCAATTATTCGATATATAAAAGAAGGCTGATGCATTACCGGAGGAACTTCTCACTGAGGTACTAGGCTGAATTTGTATTCCTGAAACGGTAGTACCTAAAAAGAAGCACATGAGAGCAGGAAGAGTTACAGCATCATAAACCTTGAATAAATATCCATAGATGAGTCAGAACCAAAATAAGAGACCTAAGGAAAGGCAGATTGTAAATGCCGAGTCGAGAGATGGTATGTGCCCGACACGGCCGGTGCCCCAGCACAGAGGACCAGAAAAGTCGGCCAGCACTCACCTCTAAAATACGGACATCTCAACTACTTCAGAAAGTCCATCTGAATGCACCAGGCTTGTCTAGTTAAAAAGTTATTCTAGGGACCAGCAGACAGCATAATGGTTATGTTGGTGGACCCCCACGGATTTGACCACGGTTCGAGTCCTGGATCCAGTGGCTTAAAACTTACGCCAGGCATGTGTGTGTGCATGCCCAAAATCCTGAGAGGAGAATGGAGGAGAAGGGACTGCGGCATGGCCATCCCCCCTCGGGGGGGGGATTTCTTACTTTCCGTCTCTCTATCTCTGTTTCTCTGGCAAGTGCATATACCCTATAGCAAAAATCTCTTAAAAAAATGAAAGTTATTCTATGATAAATTACACTGAAAATGGTTTATGAGGTAAAACAAACCATACCATATCTATTATTTCTGCCAGAGCAGAGATGGATTCCCAGGCCAGTCCTAGGAAACCTGACAGCTAGGCAGCTGGATGCCGCACGGCTAACCGTGTAGTTTGAGTTCCAGACCCGGTGGCTTGAAAAACAGGCCAGGGGTGTGGACATGTGTACCCAAAATCCTGAAAGGAGGGGTAGGTGGGAATGGGACTGCAGCATGCCCATACTCCCTGGGGGCTGCTTTCTCCTCTTCTCTGCAGGCCCACGTGCCCCCTGGCAAAGTTAGAAACAAACTCCCTGGCCGTCCGCCTCTGATCAGCCCCGGACTCACCGCTGGAAAGGAGCTCCAGGATGCTCTCCGACGCCTTACTGACAGACGACTCCAGGCAAAGCGCAAAGCTGGACAGCGCTTTGCTGCGCACAGTGGGCGCCTTGTCTGAGCACCGGTCGAACATGATCTCCTGCACCAAGAACTTGTGCTTTAGGAACTTCTGGTGCTCCGGGGAGACAGCGCTGTCCGTCTCCCTCTCAGGCAGCTCTAACAGAGCTAAGACCACATCGAGAGTGAAAATCCGGTGTGGGATCTAGAACAGCAAAATCGTAAGAATCACTGTAAGAAAGGAGCAGAAACCAAGAAGCCTTAATCCTGCCTCCCAACCTGTGGATGCAAAGGCCCCACCTTGGGACTCCGGGAGTATCTGTAAAACCAGGCGATGAACGCGGCGTACTGCACACAAGGAAGCTTGCCGAGCAGCTGCACCAGGGACTGGGCGGCGGGGGTCCGGTATTCTGATTTATCAACCACCTGCAACAGAACGAAGGAAGGTGCCGTCCAGCCAGCAGCCTCTGAGGGACAGCTACGACATAGGGTAAGGTCAGTTGAGCAGCAGGGAGTGCAACTCACTCCATGGTCTTCAATGTTCCCTAAATGACGAATATATTTCAGGCTTCAGCCCTGTCTTGAAAACTAACCTTTAAGACACCTACAGAGACCAGCAGATAGCATAACGGTTACGTCGCTGTACTCCCACATGGTCAACTGCAGTTCAAGTCCCAGACCCAGCGGCTTGAAATTCAGGTTGGGTGTGTGTGTGTGTGTGACCAAAATCCCAAGAGCAGGAGGGAGAAGGGATTGCAGTGTGGCCAGAAATCCCCCAGGGATGGGATTTCTCACTTCTGTCTCTCTCTCTCTCTCTGTGTCTCTCTGGCTCGCTCTCTCTTTCAGGCGAGCGCATGCATTCTGCATAAAATTTAGCAAGGTTATAGACCACAGCCTCCCTCAACCAGGGTCCATAGGGGTCAAACTAAGAGTCATCTAAAAGGTTATAAACATTTAAGTTAGGCCCAGCTGCAGTAGTCCACACTGCAGACACTCCTACTTGGCAGACCCACTGAAACGACATGGGGGCCCAGGTTCGATTCCCGCCCCCCTCAGAAACCAGTGACTTAAACTTGTAGTTCCAGGTACTCAGGAGACAGAGGACTGCGATGTAAAAAGAGAATTAAGAATGCTAATGGAAATTGGAACACTGACTCAAAACATCTAATAATATTAAGGAATCACTGTGTTCTTTTAGGTAGTTCTTATCTTTTAGAGACACAAACTGAAAAATTATATATGAAAGGATCTGATGAGATGTGCTTCAGAAAAACAACCCAGTGTGCCCTGCTCCGGGCAGGGGGCTGGGGAGTGGGAGGGTGTCAGTGTCACAGGACGGCTGGAGACGCGAGGTCAGGACTATGTCCCTTTACTTCTGTGTCTGACATTTTCCAAACTAAAGTCTGCTTGTTTTTGAATTTGCTATAGGGCACATGTACATGCTGGAGAAAGATGGGGGTAGGAGAGGAGAAAGCACCCCCGGGGGATGGCCCCACCACAATCCCTTCTCCATTGTCTAAGGATCTGGGGCATGTACACATGTGTGACCTTAATTACCACGCCACTGGCTGGCCCCCATTTTTTTTTCAATGAGAGTGAGCAAGCAGGAAGTAGAGAGGAAAGGAGAGGAGAAGGTGGAGTGGGGAGGGGCACACTCCTCCTCCTGCCACCGTGGCTAAGTTCTTTTTTTTTTTTTTTGGAGAGGTTTTTTCTTATTGGGCACATGTACTCGCCAGAAAGACAGAGACAGACAGAGAGATAGAAAGCGAGAAATCACCCCCCAGAGGGGATGGCCATGCCATAATCCCTTCTCCTCCATTCTCCTCTCAGGATCTTGGGCATGCACCTGCACGCGCACCCACCCGGCGTGATTTTAAGCCACCGGGTCCAGGACTCGAACCGCGGTCGACTACATAGGAGTCCAGTGACATAGCCATTATGCTAACTGCTGGTCCCTCCCAGTTATTTTTTTTTTTTTTTAAGGACACGCTGTCTAGGGGAACATCTAGTAAATAGTAAATAAAACTTTTAGTAATAAATAAGACAGACTCACTCCCAAAAACAAATACACACCAAGCTTCACATTACCCTGGGCTTAACTAGCATCATTTCCAGAGCAGACAGTACCTTGGCACAGATGTGCTGCAGTAAGACGTGAAGGGCTGGGAACACGCTGTCCTGCAGCTCGTCCACCAGGGAGCTGTTTCAGAGACAACCACATCCACGGTTCACAACGCGCTGCTATGACCACATTAGTCGCTTCCTTGACCCTGTCCTCAAACCACGACCCCTCTGCTTGAGAAATAGCAAAAACGCCCCGGCCCCCGATTCAGAGACGTGCTCCTGCAGAACAGGCAGTGGAGAAACCCGCGTGATGGCCAGAACGTCAAAGTTCTCCCCGCGCGGCTCTGGAGGGCGGTTGCTGTTAGCCGAACTGTCGAAGAGCAGCGCGCCATCTTTTTAAGTCTGGATTCACGACGGCGTGCATACGCCCACATGTGAGGGAGAAGAGCAAGGAGCACTCCACGGGCTCAGCAGCTGTGCTCCCCATCCTTCAGCCTGCCAGGGTCCTGGGCACCTGGGCAAGCACGCACGTGCCTGTCGTGTTTTCGGGCCGACTGGGCTGGGGTCGGCATGTGGGTTCCAGCCCAAGTCTGGCATGCTATTTACTGTGTAACAAATCAGTGTGCCAAAAACAACCTTCATGCAAATCTTTCTGTTTACTTACTAAATTATTTTCTTTTTCTTCTTTTTTTAAAAAAAAATTTGCTGGAGGGCACATGTGCTCACCAGGGAGAAAGATAGAATGAGAAAGAAAATGGGAAAGCACCCCCCCACCTCCAGGGAAGATGGTCACCCCACAATCCCCTCTCTATTCTCTTCTCGGGATTTTGGGCATGAATATACATGCACCTGACATGCTTTTCCAGCTGCTGGGTCCAGGACTCGAACCCCAGGTCAGCCATGTGGGGTCCATCTGCCTTCACCATGCTACTGACTAGTTCTACTTACTAAATTTCACAGAAATAGAAGATATCCTTTCAGGGTAAACATGAAAGCAGACTGAGCCACAGTGCCACCTTGTGGCCGCTCAGTGAATGCTCCGTGAAATGCTCCCACAATGCATTTGTAACCATTCTAACTTTCCAAGAGAAATCACAGCGATGCCGCTACATCTATTTTTAGTGCTAAGCTTATTTGCAACATTGCATGAATATAGCAACTGGCAGCATGATAAAAAGCTCATGGAAACAACTACAGCAACAATATTTCTACTTGAAACATCTTAATTACTTAATGTTTTTTTAAAAAGACTTACTAAGGAATATTCCCTCAGTGATCAGATAGTCATCCCTACCCATGTCTACGATACTACACACTGTGCACGTCTGCAGGCGTGTGCACACTCGCGTGCACACACTCACGTCCACACTGGGGGCCAAACATTCCGCCAAGGAGGAAGGGAATGCCAGTGACGAGCAAAGGGCCTCTCCTAACAGAACGAGGACTCGAGGCTTTTTATAGGGTCCCTATGCCACGTTTACCCCCTCAAGGGACTCCTGTCCCCTTGAACAATGCCACAACAAGGCTATGACAACGACCCGGGCCACGGGAGCCGGGATAGCTCTGAGCGCTTTATCTGGACCCCCCAGACTGCCATCAAGCCAGAACCCCTAATTGCAGATGTCAGAAACCTTGGTTCACAGGGCCCAGACAGGTGAGGGTGTCAGGAGTGCAACAATCCGGGGCGTGCAGCCTCACCTGATGAACTGCACGGCCTGGTTCCTGCGGTTCAGGACTTGGGAGGTAATGGCCAGGGGGGCCCGGTGGGCTCCCTCGCCCACTTCCAGCATCAAAATCACGTTTAACATTTGATGGAAAACACCACTGACCACCTAGAGGGGAAGAGAACCCACGTAAGGCAGGGCAGAGGACCCAGGGCCTTCAAGTTAGTGATGCCGACCACAGGAAACCCACCCAAGCCATCTGGAGACCAGTCAGGTCAATGTTAGTTCTGGGTCAACCCCGCCCATGTGCTTCTTGGGCAACTAACAGCTGTTCCTTA